AACCCTTCATTCAAAATGAACCGTTATGTGCCACTGCGGGGTAACCGGGCGCTCCGGTCAAGGTGATCGGACGCTCCGGTCAGTTCTCCCCACCACCAAGCAGTTAAGTTGTGACCAGACTCTGTCCAGCGTCCGGTTAGCACTGACCGGACACGTCCAGTCATGAAAACTGCCCACTGGAAGCTTACTGATGTTGACCGAACTCTAGCACCCAACGTCCGGTCACTTTGCTGCTCAGCGTCCGGTTAGTAGCCGAAACCTGACCAGCGTCCGGTCAGCACTGACCGAACACGTCCGATCAGGATTCTCCCTCTCTGGAACCTTACTGGAGTTGACCGGACTCTGGCACCCAGCGTCTGGTCACATTTCACTCAGCGTTGGTCGCATCCAGACGACTTCATCTTGATCAAATGAACTGATCGGACTCTGCGCCAGCGTCTGGTCATACCGAAACCAGCATCCGGTCAACATTTGACCCTCCATTCACTTCCAACTCGCAATCATATGTGAATGAAGTTCGTTCCAATTGATCTAAGGGCTTTTTAGGAGCTACCTAGTGCTAGATTTGACAAGTGTGCACCACACCTAACCCACTAGACTCACCTAGGTCAAGCTACCCGTCTATACTCCCCTTAATAGTATGGCCAAAGGAAAAACAAAGTCCTAAACTACTCTAAGTGTCTCTTTAACACCAAACGACACTTAGAACTAGTCCATCCTTAACCTTGTCATCCATCCTTTGAAAACCAAAACGATTTCCATCGTAGGGGCATGACAACCATGATTGCCCAATCAATTGCCATTACCATGACCTAACTTAATTGTATCTGCAAAACACACGTTAGTCACAGTAATCTCGTATTGTCATTAATCACTGAAACCCAACTAGGGGCCTAGATGCTTTCAACGTGGTACCCTACGTCTAGTTTGGAGTAGATCCCTTATTCTCATGTGCTCGAGTTACAAGGGGTTGCTGAGTATTCGCAAGGTAACGATCAAGTGCTCTCTACCCCGCATTATATACTGCGAGGGGATAGGGTTACATAGATGACGATCAGTTTACATATATATTTACTAATCAGTTATATGGAAATAACAATAGAATGTCTATTATATTTGTAGCTAGTCAGTGGCCAAGCTTCTTGCGCCATGTTCCTCGATCACCACATCTTGTAGCAATCTCTACCTCGAGTGGGCCTCATCTTCATCAACTTCAGCCCACCACGATGGTAACAGCCCTATATCAAGGCAATGTGGTCCCCTGGGTCCATAACATAGGCAGTAGCCCCCGAAGGACTTGATGACGAGCCAGTTGAATGGCTTAGCCCTTTCAAGTACCGGTGTTGATGTCTTCGGGTGCCACCACTAAAAACTTTAGGACCCGATGATGAAGATTCGTACCTTGAAGCTCCCAAAAAACCAACACCCCTGAAGGCTCAGTTTTTCAAGCGTATGCACACGAATATCGTCTTCGGTCCTCCAGGTAATGCACATCATTAAGTCCTATTATAGATGAGGATGAAATGAGCCATGGAATTCGATGCGCCTCATCTCCCCCACCTGTCTGTTACATGAGTGACTTGCGTGAGTCATGGATCTTGACCGTTTCCCCTTCCTTATTGGCAAGGAATGGATATAAAACCTGATGCGGTGGATATCTCTGATTCACAGGACTTCTCTTTTTCCTCCTTGAAACTTTTAGATCAAAGGGGCTCTCTTTCCACAGTCATGGTGTCCTTCATCCTCCAACGCTACTGGCAATGACAATAGCATTAGGAGAAGGCCTTCAAGATTAATCTCCTCCAACATCTAGGCGTAGCAATGGCAGCTCGTCCTAGGTGCTAGTAGAAGTTTTGTGAAGACGAGGGGGAACGCCACCACTAGTTGCCCGAGGTACTGATTACACATTGTAATCGGCTCTCCCGTTGTACGGCCACGATGGGCTTCATCGAGGTCGATGGGATGCTGGTGGTTATATTACCATTAAAGCACATGTAGTGACCCTCGGCGAGTGGGGCAAACCGAGGTGTTGGGGACAATCTCGTTGTCACCACACCAAAGTGTGTGTTGCACAACTTCTGGTGTCAGTTCATCAGTCAAGCGGTGTTCCTCCTTCGGTACGGAGCGGTCGATGAATGCATGCCCCCTTGAACCTCTTTGTTGCAGGTATTGCCTATGGGAGATGCTAGGGGAAGTTTTGCGAGGTGCTTCCGCGTAGTAGTTCTCTAGGATTTCAGCCTACTCCTTGTTGACTCGTCGATAGAATGTTGCTTGTATATGTAAACTCTCCCGCAGCTTCTCTTGCACATGCACATTTGGCTTCTTTGCATTCCTAGGTCACAATCGAGTATGGGATTAACCCGTACTCAAAAGGTCTTTGTCATTGTGCATCTAGTAGTTCGAATGGGTCTTTCTTATTGTACACATGTCGAATGTAACAAAATCTGCCAATAAAGATTGATTCTTTTACTTGAGATGATAAGGTAGGTTAGTCTACAAGATGAGGTTGAGCAAGGCTAGGAGCTTGGTGATAATCATGACCATGATGCAAGAGCTCAACATGGAGAAGAGAATGGATGGAGATGAAAACAAGCCTGAAGCAAAGGTATATGTATAGTTGTTTTGTTTTCATTGGCCAAGGGCTACAGAGTGCATGGTCGGGTTTATGATATATAGTCGTGCTATTAAGAAAAGAACTCTGAAGCAATTGTGCATCTAGTGCCACTAGGTGATGACTAACTTTGCGTGTGCATTAGATCTAGTGACGTGATGATGAAACAAGTGAAAATATTTTGAAAATGCTAACTCAATGCTTTAAGGTGTCTTGGTCCTTTGGAACATATTTGGAAGTTAGCACGTTCGAAACATTTGCCCTGCAGGCTGCAGGTTCTCCTTGTGTTAAGGAGCACATAATGTGTGTCTGTGTTGTCCGTTTGGCACTCAGGTTTTTGACCCAAACAAGCATTCCTCGAACAAGCCCAACTAGAAGCTGCGTCCTCGTACAGGAAGTCCATGGCCCAGTGACCTAAACAAAACAGATCTGCACCTGTAGAGGGATGACAGCAAACCAGGCTCAGATGGAATACCATGTCCAATGAAAGAAAAAAAATCTATTTTACCTCTATGAAGTATCATTAAAGTCTAGTTTTTCTCTCTGAACTTCAAAATTGAGTAAACCACCTCTCTCAACTTTTAAAACCTTTCGTTTTACCTCTTGATCCAGTTATTGGTGGTTTTCAAAGATGGTTTTGTTTTTTCTTTTTATTTATTTTGGCTGATTTTTTGAAAGATTATAGTAAATCATAAAAAAATCATAAAATGGAAAATTTAATTTTTTTGGACTCTACATGAGTAGATCTACACAATAAACATATAATATGGTATGTTTTAATATAAAGTTTTTATTGTAGCTTTAGATCTATGTTTTTCTGTAATTAATTCATAGCTACAGTTTCTATGGTCCAATTGTGTTGAAATTTTATGGTCGGCTAATTATTGTATGATTGAACCATAGTAAAAATTTCATGCTCATTGGATCATGTATAACTGAGTTATAGATTTATTCAGTTTTATGCTTGTTAAATAGTTTTTAAATAGGTAAAAGTGTGTAAAAATAGAAATGAGTGAAATTTTTACTATAGTTAAACCATACAATAATTAGACCACCACAAAAATTTTACCACAATTAGACCATAGAAATTGCAACTATAAATTAATTACAGAAAAATATAGATCTCAAGCTATGATAAAAAATTTGTACTAAAGCATACTATATTATATGCTTGTTGTGTAGATATACTCATTTAGAGTTCAATAAATTAGATTTTTTATTTTATGACTTTTCTGTGATCTACTGTGATTTTTTAAAGATTATGCCAAAATAAATAAAAAATAAAAAGACAAAACTGTTTTTAAAAATCATCTATAAGTGAGCCAGAGAGGTAAAATGAACTGTTTTAGAAATTGAGGGAAGTGTTTTATCTGATTTTAGAGTTTATGGAGGAAAACTCGACTTCGAGAGCATAGTACTCGAGGTAAAATGAACTTTTTTGCGGATGAAAGAACGGGCTTTGCTATCCCAGCCTCTTCTTGTCGGCTTCTCGTCATTTTTTTCCTGCTCGGGTAGTTCGTGCCACTGCAAATGGCCAAATTGGCAGCACGAGCGATGGCCAGGGAATATTCTCCTACTATTATCTGTGGACTTTGTTCGGTCCCTGCGTGCGAGATCGCCGATTCGCCATTGCTACAGCTCTTGCCCCGTCTCGCTGTGCTCTTCTTTCTTCTGTCCAGGTATGCCTCGGCTTGTCTTATACCCTCCTCTATGGGCAGGACAGCTGCATTCCCTTCTATTGCTGCATTTAGGGTTAAATCCTCTGTAAACCCTCCGGTTCATGGGGTCCATCCAGAGCTTACAGATAGGTGGGTGTTGGTGACCTGACGGGCTGGGGGAATTGGGATCCCCTCTCTCACTTCGATTCAGACAAAATTTCTTGCAAGATTCGCCTATTTCGGGGTAGGATTTGTGGTGAGGATTCGGTCTTTGTTTGAGGAGTCCGCGTTGGAATCATCGCAAGATACCGTGCTGAACGCGTTTGTCTTTGGAAGACCTGTTCCGAGATAGAATACCAGATTCGCGTAGATCCTGACACGGGCCGATGTGATCTTTTACAATTTTTTCTAGCGTATTATCTCATAGATACGTGGCTTTAGTCTTTAGGTCACCTTCATCATTAGATACGTGGCTTTGGACCTTATTGTGCAAGGTCCTTATTCTTCTTTCTTGCGTCTGTTTCAGAGAGTCCAGTGGGCTGTAGATTCAATTGAAGCGATTACAGTACATCTTTGTTTAATAATTAATTATACTTGGTTCTTGTTGTGTTTGATCATTGCCTTTTGTCTACTGTGAGCGACACTGACGGAAGCCAAGTACTAAAGTCGGTTTCTTTCTCTGAACACATTATTTCAGTCAGCACCAGATACAGTGATTTCTGAGGTGCACGATGGAAATTCTGATCTATGTCTTGCTTCTTGTGCTTATTGTACTGGGCACCCTGTCTGTTATCCCAAGGTCTAACAGCAAAGGTAAAAGTTGTATCACTTGAGAATCAACGGTAAACATTCTGCCATTGACTATTGTTATATTGCAGGTAAAGGAAATGGTGGAGTGCATCCATTAGGAAGTGGGAAGGTGAATGCGATCTTTTATCATTGAATACTTTAGCTTCCTCATGACTGTAATGCATGTACGTCTAACTAACTGATGATCACGCAGTCGCTTTACATTGTGCTTTTTGAATCTGAGAAACGACTTGTTGACTGAAAGGCCAGGCTAACATGGGTTATGCAGAGACTAAAATGCACATTCAGACGTGCCACTGCCTTAACATCATTTTCATTCGTTGCTTTCTACCATTCCCCATTCAGACAATTAACTTAACATCATTCTCACTCGTTGCTTTCTGCCATTCCCCATTCAGACATCTAGAAGCTATACAAAGAAAGAGGTTTCAACTCACAACACAAGGAAGGATTGTTGGATAATAATCAAAGATAAGGTTAAGAAAGCGATCCACCATGTACCGACTAAATTTCATCCAGCTTTAAATTAAATTAGGAAATTGAAAAAGGCTTGGACTTCATGTCTTATAATCTTCAGTTTTCTTATTATCCAGGTTTACAATGTCACTTCATACGTGGAGGAACACCCAGGTGGTGATGCCATCTTGAACAATGCTGGAGATGATTCAACAGAGGGATTTTTTGGGTTTGTAACTCATCGTCGATTGTTTACACTGCATTCTGCCATCATTGCTCACGGAACATGCTTTTCTTTTGCCACCGAGAATATAATCTATAAGTATGAATTTCAGAATTGTTAGGTTTTACTGTTCTGCGTATCTTTTTATTTAAATTTTCCTAGGTGATCGGATTCCTTCACAAAAATAGGTTTAAACTAAATTACCTTTCAACAAAATATTTGTTTAGGTAGGCATAAAACCTGGACAAGGATCCCTTATCTTCCAGAGATCCATAACAGTGAGCTTGATAGAGAAGTATTCCATGTTGTTTTCTAGAATAAAGGATAAATAAAAAAGGGCGTACCTAGTGCAGAGAGCTCCCGCTCTATGCGGGCACCTAATTTAAATAATTTAACACTTCATTCTGCCATCATTGCTCACGGAACATGCTTTTTTTTTGCCACCGAGAATATAATCTATTAGTATGAATTTCAAAATTGTTAGGTTTTACTGTTCTGCGTATCTTTTTATTTAAATTTTCCTAGGTGATCGGATTCCTTCACAAAAATAGGTTTAAACTAAATTACCTTTCAACAAAATATTTGTTTAGGTAGGCATAAAACCTGGACAAGGATCCCTTGTCTTCCAGAGATCCATAACAGTGAGCTTGATAGAGAAGTATTCCGTGTTGTTTTCTAGAATAAAGGATAAATAACACCTAATTTCTCCCAAATAAGATCTTTATTTGTCAGAATCTTAGACAACCATCAAACTAAAACCAATCTTTTTACCTCTCAATTCTCAATAAAACACGTTCTCACTTAGCTGAACTCAAATACGCTTCATCCGAACAACCATACGAGTTCGATGATCATTTTAAAGGGTGGTCTAGAGTAATGGACCTTTGTATCACAAAGGTTGAATTTTCAAATAGATAATTAGATAAATTAGCAATTCATCAATATTATTCCCTGTTTTCTGTTTAGAATCAATAAAGTAGAGATGGTTAATAGTTTTCTATTGCTTGTATATTTCAGTGATGTTGACCAATAATATCTTTTATTTTGAAGTTTCATATATTGATGGTGTAGGTGAGCTGTGTGTATCCAGCCCTGAACTTGTAGGCTTGAAAACATTCTAGATCCATGTCCATGTGGTTGTTGTTATGACAATAAAAAGTTAAATATATACATGAGCACATAATAAGATCATGGAATAATTGACAACATCCAGATGATAGATGCTGCGGATTGGTAAAGACTCCTAAATAATATTGATGTGGATATTTCTTATCATTTCCTTGTCAAGAAAAAGTCTTCTGATTTTGCTATTGCTTTTCGTCACAAGCTTGATTGCACAACTGTATTACCTTTCATCTTTTTACATGCTTTCAGCTCTCAAATAAGACAATACTTAATTAGATAAATTAGCAATTCATCAATATTATTTTCTGTTTATAGAGCAATAAAGTAGAGATGGTTAATAGTTTTCTATTGCTTGTATATTTCAGTGATGTTGACCAATAGTTTCGTTTGTTTTGAAGTTTCATATATTGATGTTGTCTAAGTGAACTGTGTATGCCCAGCCCTGAACCTGTAGGCTTGAAAACATTCAATAAGATTGATGTCCATGTCCATGTCCATGTCCATGTGGTTGTTGCTATGAGAATGAAACATTAAATATATACTTGAGCACGCCAACAAGATCATGGAATAATTGACAACATCCAGATAATAGATGCTGCGAATTGGTAAAAACTCTTAAACAATATTCATGTGGATATTTCTTATATCCTTTCCTTGTCAAGAAAAACTCTTCTGATTTTGCTATTGCTTTTCTTCACAACCTTGATTGCTCAACTGTATTACCTTCCATCTTTTATGTCCAAGAGAAATGTCATACCTGTACAGTCTACGCGCTTTCAGCCCTCAAAGAAGACAATACTTAAGTATTTACACGAGCACGTCCTCCACAAGTTCGTAAACGAAATAACAAAATCCTGACGTGACGATAGATGCCGCAGAATCATAGAAACTGTAAAACAACAACTTTGATGGGGATTGTGCTTATCTTGTCCTTTTCTTAAAGGAAAATTCGTTTCTTTTTTGCTATTGTTTTTCTCCACAAGTCATATTGTGCAACATTGCCACCTTCATTTTTCAATGTGTTTTATTAGATAATAAAACTTATACCTCCACGCGTTTTCAGCCCGCAACATGGGACAAGAGTATTTGACATCATCGAGGATTTCTGCATTGGCGAACTGAAGGACTGAGGAGTAGAGGCTGTGGATGCTCTAAATCAAATGTGAACCCACGCGCTCTCCTACATTTTCTGGACGACGACAGGAAGTGAAAACAGTTGCCAGTAGCCTAGTAATGAGGACTCCTCCTCAGCTTTTGTGGTTCTGGCTTGATATTGACCTGGTATTGTTTTACCAGTAGCAGTGTTTGAAGCATGGACTTTCGACGTGTCCTGGACGTTTTTGTTAGCTTTATCGCTTTGAGAAGATATGCTTCTTAGATGTATGGAACTTTCTCAGGGTGGACAACTACTTTGCCCATTTTCGTATTGATGTTTAAAACATGACAGTGAGAGGCATTTGCCCAGTCCAATTCTCCCCCTTGGTCGTGTCTGAATGACAGAGCTGTTCGGCTCAAGGGAACACGTTTAGAATTATGGTGATTGATTGATGGGCTCATATTTCATTCCCTTTTTTTTGTATGATGAAGAAGAAAGTTCATACTTTTGTTCATGATGAATTAATCTTGATCGAAGAGGTGATCTTCAATGGTTAGGTAAGAGTATACCGGATGTAAAACAGCTCACAAGGCCGCAGCAGCTTCTAGCAAAGCATGTTTGACACATTGGTAGAGCATGAGAGCGCAATTTTCAGACAGGCTCTTATCATAGTTGCACAGCTTGTGACTTGTGATGTGAGTATGATATGGCCTGGGCACTGCGAGGCTCTGCTTCAAGGACAAGGAATGATATGACCTGGGCAAGTCTTTCTTTTGGATGCTTACGAGTAGCCTACGGAGTAGTTTGGTGCATCATCATGATCAGTCCAGTCACACGTTACCTTTTGGCAACCAAGGCAAAAAAGAAGGCTTAAATGAATTTGTGAATTCAAAGTACATTTATGTGCGAGGGTGTAGAACAAGAGCACAACGACCGATAATTGAGATCAAGGCCTTGTTTAGATACCCTCAAAATTCCAAGTTTTTTTACTCTCTTTCCATCATATCAATTTTTAGCCGTTTGCATGGAGCATTAAATGTAGGTAAAAAAATAACTAATTGCACAGTTTAGTTGGAAATCACGAGATGAATCTTTTGAGCTTAGTTGGTCCACGATTGGACAATATTTACCAAATAAAACGAAAGTGCTACTATTCATCGGGTTGAATTTTTTTTCAATCTAAACAAGGCCCAAAGACATTTCTCAGATGGCTCGAAGGATCTTATTTTCCCTTGGCATAAAAAATCAATAATACAATACAAACACAGCACTCTCAGGCCTCAGAAAAGAGGAAAAAGATTAACAAAAAAGAGGGGTAAAAAAAAAGACAATCTCTACTCTTGTTCATCATCTCCTACGGTAATTACTAATTAATTACGCATTTACGCCTGCACTGCATCTGCATGGACCCAGGAAAGCAGAGCTCTGCTGGTGCTCTTCCCTCCTCTGTTCTGTTCCAGGACGAACGAACGCCCGCCCGGTCCCCAGAGCCAGAACAGAGGGCTCGGTCACATCCCCTACTACCCTTCATCAGCTACAACCAACGCATCACGATTCACGCGAAGAAGCTCGCGATGTCTATGTCGATCAGCAGGTCGTCGAAGCTGTCCACGGCGGGCGGCGGCGCGCTGGCGGCCACGAGCGCGGCCACCACCTCCTGGAGCTCGGCGTGCCCCCGCCACTCGGCGTCGTCGAACGGCAGGTAGGAGGCGACGTGGTTGTTGGAGTCCGAGGTCGCGGGCGACACGACCCAGTTCTCCGACGCCGTGGACGGCGCCAGCTGGCACCCGCCGCTCGCCGGCGGCGTGGAGGCGGAGAGGTACAAGGGCGTGGCGGCCGCAGGCAGGCCCTCGGTCTTCACCGTGAGCCCGGCGCTCAGGGTCTGCAGGTGGCCGTGCGCGTCCGGGTTGTGCTCCGCCGGCGCCGTGGCCTGGCCCGCCGCTGCTGGCTTGTGGACGCAGGTGTGCTCGCCGTGGTAGATGACGTCGTACAGCGCCGGGTCCTCGTCGGTGCGCTGCACCTGCTTCGTCGCGGGGCACCCCTGCGAGTGGCGGTGCGTGCAGCGGTAGTAGCCCCTGCGGAATTTGCACGGCGGAGGTCAGCCACGGTTCCCAAAAGGAGATATTTTGATTGTGAATTCGTAGCAAGATTGTAGCGCACTGTTCCAAACCAAATCCAAAGGCCTTATGTGCCAAGTGGAGGCCAATCATTCAAGAACACAGCGAAGGCTCCAACTTTCAGAAAGGACAGGACGGGCACAAGCATCCGAACCAAAAGGGAGACGGAAATGATTTCGATTCCACTTGGGAGGAAGGATAGGATAGCACACACACACACACACACACACACACACACGTGCAGAACAGATTGCTTGGGCTCTGAAAATTCAAGAAAAGCCAAATCAACACATGTCTGAGTGAGTGAGATGTGGGGCTGCCAACCTTGGGTGCTTGGCTCCGAGAATCTCCTTCTGGCCGTACTTCCTCCAGCTATGGCCGTCGTCGACCGGGTTCTCGCCGCCGGCCGAGCTCACCCTCTGCCTCCGCTGTTCCATCACCTTCCTGCGAACATATACAACGAGTTTAATTTAGCAAAGAGTCAAACTAACTTGTTGCTGGTTGAACCGATGATATTCATCGAGGCTTGAGCAAGCAGCAAGCCAGCAAGCATTAGTGTTCACCTCTTCTTGGTGTTCTTGAACGGCCCGTCGGTGACGTCGCTGGTGGGCGTCGCCGAGAACGGCGAGGCGAGGTCTGCATCGCCCGCGGACCGCTTCCGGCGGGCGCCGTACTCGAGGTTGGAGGAGGTGATGAGGCCGATGGAGCGCTCGGTGAGGGAGAAGATCTGCGAGGCCAGGTGCTTGCACAGGTCCGGGGAGCCGCCGAGGTGCACCTGCAGCTGCCTCACCAGCTCCTTGATGTGGCTCAGCTCCGTCACCACCAGCCCGCTGCTGCCTCCTCCATTGTTACTGCCGCCGTCGACGACGCCCATGACCAGCTCCATCTCCGTCGTCGCCATGAGATGATGAGATCAGAATGCCCCTCCCTGTTGTTATATTGGCCGGCCGTCGAGGTACGTGGGACTGGAGCAAGAGCAAGTGTATGTACGCGGCGGTGAGGTGGTCGAGGGGAGGGAGGCCGGGAGGGTGAGTGACACGAAGCGGGAGCTCGATCGGCGCTGCCCTTTTAAAGAGAAACCAAGCGCGTACCGGCGAAGCCGAGGGAACAGGAAATTGACCGGTGAGCGTAGTGGCGACTGGGGCCTGATTGGCCGCTGCTGTGCCATGTCGGATCGGGAACACGGAACACGTAGTTGTACTCTGCAAGGGCCAGGGGGTCCCGTCCGGACAACACAGCTTTCCTGGTCGCTTCGTTTTCTTGTTTGTGTGTGTGTGTGGGGGGAGGGGGAAGCTTGAACGCGCTCCCCACCACCACACCCCCCCACACACACAATGGCTGATGCCGCGGTTTGCCATGGTGAATGTAGTGTAAAGCCTGAAGCTACTCCTTTTTCTGCGATGTTTCACATTGAAAAGTACTGGCTGCAGGTATGAAAATTCAGTTGAAACATGAGGCAGCCGCAGTTAGTTTTTCCGATCTGAGTCTCTTCAATTTACACTTCTTCTTTATCTACTACGTATATATGTGCGTAGCTAGTTGCATTATATATATATATATATATATATATATATATATATATATTGTACTACCGGAGGCGGAGGTCCAAATGATGGGAGGAACACACCCACAGATACGAGGGAAAACCGCTAACGGAAAACAGGGGAAACCTTTGCACACATGTTCATTGTACATGACGCGTTGCCAGAACTTCTATTAGCTATAGACTGATCTGCTTGGACATCGATCTTATTTTGAAAGGCGAGTTGCCTAAGCGGCGACTAGTTCAAACCTGTCCATTTGCATGCTTGATCTAAGCACATTCGTCCTGTTTGTTTGAGCTTGTTTACCGATAAGTCATGGTTGAAAGTATTGTTGACTAATTTGGTGTGAGAGAAAAAATATTATTCGTTGGCTGAAAAAATATGGCTTATAAGCCAAAAAGCCCAAACGAACATGGCGATTATTGTTATATATAGTACGTATGTGTTTGCATTATATTGTACAATCATGGATCCAGTGGACGTACGTTTAAAGTGCAAACTTCCAGCTGAAGAAGCAGTGGTTTGACATACTAAATTCTAGTATATATGATATGCATAACTGCCGTCAGGTTAAAGTTAAGTAAGGTGCGCACATACATGCATGTATGTATGGATTTCATTTGATTTTCTTGTTGTAGACGATGATATGATCCGCGCCGTCGTGTTGCCGTTGATACCATAAGCTGCTTCGTTTTTTATTAGTGTTTTAATTTAGTTGTAGGCTTTAGTTACCTCAACCATGTGCTCTGGGATTTCTTCCGCTGAGCTTTCTCTATGTGTCGTCACAGAATAATAAGCTTGCATTGCTCAGTAGTAGTATATAATATTATTGCTTCTGCAAGGATTGAGAAAACTACCAAACCCAGCGCACGCACAAAATATTTCTTTTTAGCAATGACTTTGAGTAATGTTGCCAGCATACGTATATAGGAATCTAGCTAGAATTTCTTGGGGCTCAAATAATCCAAAACAAATCATGCAAGAAAGAGTTGTTCACACGCTCTTTTTGGAGAACTCAACTAAAGTTGCCTCCTTTGTGGCTTCGTGTCATCAGCACGTACACCTCCTAATGAATCGCTTTTTCTTGTGGAAGTGGCATATTAGTGCTTAATAATAAAAAAATGCCTATATATAATTATATATATCTCTGGTGAGGTGAGCTCTTGAGACTCGAGAGTAGCCGTTTCGATCCGGAGGGATAAAGCGAGTGGTGGAAATTCGTAGGAGAGCGGTGAAGTCAGAGCTCTCCATCTCCATCCCCTTGCTTGCTTTTGCTTGCTCCCCATTGGCGAAGCAACGTGGAAGCGAGCAGATGATCGCTGGCTGTGGGACCATTACGCGTTGATGAGAGTGAAGGACATGACGTCCATAGGGTGACGAACGCCTGACGCACTTTTGTGAGGGATCGGAGTTGGGGGAGAGAGAGAACGTGTGCCTGCAAAGTGATCGGAAGCTGTGCTGCACCTGCGTACTGCTGGGAGGTTCGGTACATATCTCTTGTGGCCATGATTTGGTTGTCCAACTTTGTGTCTACGGTGGTGTTTGATCATTAGTCGAGAGGACTGAAGTTTAGCTCATAAAGTTTAGTTCTATCGGGCTGTTTGTATCTATGAGTTAAATTTTAGTCCTCTAATCTATAATGACTGATTTATCCTTATTTAATTATTTATGCACAGCCATGTATGCGAGCGGCAAGGGGTATGGGGCATCTAGCGCCCACCCCGAGGGAGTTTAGCCCAGTTCAGGGACCTCTTTGGGAGCAAAAGATTTTAACTCAGTTTTTAGCCATTTGCTCATTTTTAGTCCCTGTGTTTGGATCCTCATAGCAAAAAAAAAGGACTAAAAGTGCAGGGCTAAAGGTTTGTCGTGGGATCGGACCTATCTATGGTGCGCCTCATGGAAACTGAGAGCCATCATCACACGACGGTTGGCGAATAGGGTTCAATTAGTGCCTACAGTAATTAGCAGACTATGCATGTTTTTTTGTTTTTGTTTTTGTTTTGACAGAGTATCGTTTGTAATCTTTAATTTTGCAGGCTCATGCAGAAATGAGAACATGTGATGGATGTCCATGTCCTTCCTTCGGGTATTCAAATTCCAGTCCGATTATACTTGTTCAACTTTGTCATGACACATATAACCATGACAAAGTCGAACAATACGTACGTATACATTATACTATGGCTTGATTTGATTCAATTTTATTTGTCAAACAAAACCATAAAACAATCTGCAAGAAGCATCTAATAGTTTAAGACTTTAAGTAGTCAGTGACCTTTTTCTAACTAGAATCTGAACGATCTACATTAGCAAAAAGTAGATTGTTACTAGTATCAAGGAGAAAACATGTACAGCAATAATGCAATTCTGTATAGTCCACATTCATGAGAAGCAGAAGATCATGATGAGAGAGGTACTCCTACTGTATAGCCCGAGGTTGAGAGGTGAGAGGGTGGTGGGGACTGTTGTTGGGACACGGGATAAGTAGCCTGTTTGGTGCTGCTAGCTGGATCGTAGATTATTACCACTGACTGATTTGATGTGCGATGAGAAAAAATAATATTCTAACTGAAAGATACTATTTATATAAATAGTGCCCGTGTGAGAGGGCTGGCCAGCACCCGTCAGCCAGCTGCTCCAGCCGAACAGGCTGAAGCTCATCATGGAATAATTGATGAGGCAGGGCCCCACAGCATAGATAGAGGCGTTTTCGTTTTGCTAGCATCTCGCCTCGTTTAAATTCAGGATCCTAAAGTTTCAGGTGTCACGTCGTGTTACGTAGGCGTGGAATGTTTGATACTAATAAAAAAATAAATTACGGAATCCGTTACTAATCCGCTGACGAATTTAGTAAACCTAATTAACTCGTTATTAGCATATGTATTACTGTAGCACCACGGTGTCAAATCATAGGATAATTAGGCTTAAAAGATTCGTCTCGTAAATTAGTCATAAACTGTATAATTAGTTATTTTTTAGTCTATATTTAATATTTTATTCATATGACTAAATATTCGATGGAACAGGACTAAACCTTAGGAGAAGAACTAAACAAGGCTAAATAAAAAGTTAGTATAATTAGTTAGGCCTTTTTAGATGAAAAAAAATATATTTAATATTTTTTATTCATTATTTGTAAAATATTCGATGGGACAAGACTAAACTTTAGGAGAAGAAACGAGGCTAAATAAAAAAGTTAGAACAAAATGGCCGGGAAGAACAAGAAGGACAGTGAGTGGGCGAGCCTTTGGCTTTGGGTGGGTGGGGAGAGCAGCTGCTACCAGAACACGAAAAGACAAACAAATTAAGGGGCTGGGACGACAATGGATCAACTTTTCTTTTTTTAGTAAAAAGGCTGAAAGGTGTACGTATAGTAGTGCTTGCGTGTTGCATCAACGCGTCTTTCCTGTCTCTTCCTTCCCTGTTAAAAGATAACTTTTCCTGACTACATACTCCGTACGTCGTACATATATATTCGTAGGACTGATTATCTTGTTATCGGGGTGTTTGGTCTTTGGCCGCTCCTGAAATTCATCAAATGTTTAATAAGGAGTATTAAATATAGATTAATTATAAAACTAATCATATAGATGAAGGCTAATTTGCGAGACAATTTTTAAGTCTAATTATTCTACCATTAGCACATGTTTACTATAGCACCACGTTGTCAAATCATGAATTAATTAGGTTTAAAAGATTCGTCTCGCAAATCAGTCGCAAGTTGTGCAATTAGTTTCGTAATTAGTCTATATTTAATACTCCATATATATATGTCAGTATATTCGATGTGTAACTGAAATTTTTATATATATATATATATATATATATATATATATATATAATATATATATATATATATATATATATATATATATATATATATATATATATGTATATGGATCGATCGACCCATCCTACTTTACTACTAGCTGTGTCATGTCTTATCAAGACCCCAAGTGTACCGAGGAATTCTCCGGCCGCGGCGGCGGGCGCCCAACACATTGACGACGTCCGTCCTTTTTTCTATGCATGCGATGCGTACGCGCTCGCGCCGCCGGACCGGGAAAATTTCCTGGAAATTTGCCCTCGCCTTCTCCCGCTAGCTAAGGGTGGGCCGGCTCATCTATCTATTCCATTCCATGTAAATTTCGCGGATGTGTACGCACTCAGCTTGGAATTGAATTATTGTGCAGGTCGAGAAAGCCATGCATGCGTATAAAGTCGGCATCCAAGCCGGGGTCGAGATCCATGGCCGATCTGCCTGGAATTCTTGGCAACTAGGAGTACCACTGTTATGGTGGTTTATTTTATTGGTTACACGCCATACTACTGTCTGTATATGAGACAATGACAGCTT